AAGGCCAGAAAGAAGGAGGAAATGGGGAGGGGCTTCTTCATGATTGGATTTGATTTTGTTTTTGAGCCATTGGAGGGAGAGGAGAAGGGAATTTATAAGAAGGGTAATTTGAAGGAATTGAATTGGTTTGGTGGGAGAGAAGAGAGAGGGGATTTTGCTTGAGGAAGCAGGAAAAACAGAGCATAGCAGAGAGTGAAGGATGATAAAGGTGGGGTTTTTGGTTTGGTGGGGGATGGACAAGTGAAAACATTTGGGTTTTGCTTCTTAAAAGGGACAACTTTAAGAAGGGAAGCTTGAGATTTAAGTCTTCGAGGAAATGGGACCTTTTTAATCTCTTTAAATAGTTTGGGGCTGTTTTTTAGCATGTGAGATGCTTTTACAAAATGGTTTTTGAAAGCCATATTTTGGACATCTTGGAAAGGTTTGAACAACATTGTCCAAATTATTAAGGTTTGTTTTGCCTATATAAATTTTGTGGGTATAGCTTTTATTTTAGTATTGTTATTTCTCAAAGAGGGTGAGAATTTGAACCTTCAGAGAACATACGTCTTAATGTCTTAACCGGTTGAACTATGTTCAGATTGACACTTTTATATTTTGTTCTAGTATAAGAGAATTTAGCATATTTGTGAACCTATAAATAATTTCTACATATATGTGTATGGTTACTCCCATTGATTTTGGTCAAATATGTTAATTTAGATAAAAGAAAAAAAATCATTGCCCAATTAGTTTAGGATTTTGGGTTGGTGATGTAGATAAGAGCAAATAAAGAGGATGGATAAAAGTAGGGCCTTAGAGAAAAGGTATGAAGTTTGAAGCAAAGGAAACTCATAATTGTGTTGATGATCATGTAAAAGTATGTGAAATTTTGTCTAAGTGGCAATCATCTTTTCAATATGTTTCAATTATAAAAGAATAAGTAATGAAGTAAACGATCACAATATATCAAAACCCTTTCCATCCAATTATTTTAGCTAAAACAAGGTTCTAAAATTTTTTACAACACATTGAGGCAATAATGATGGCATTATAGAGCTTGATGACAAGGAATAATGATATTCCTAGATTAATTTATAGTATAATGTTGTTGTTAATACTCATTTTGGATGTTTAATATGAGCGAGATTTGATTATTTAGAATCGATTTGAGACAAAATAACCAAACAAACAAATCCCAAAGTTTGTCCATCAAATCAAATTAGAAGTATATTTCCCACAAATGAATGTTAGATCATTTGGAGAAATTATCTAATATATGACATGACATTCATGTTCTTTTAAGAACATAGGTGATGGTCAATAATTATCTTTAGTTGGTTACTGTTAAATTTTTTACAAATAAAAGAAAAAGAATATAAAAACAGATCGACGATCGAAGTTGTTGAAGTCGAAAATGTGAATAGAGCAACAAATAATTTATTGGTAACATAATCTATCTTTTAACTCTCCCAATCAAATTATTTGAGCTAAAACAGGATTGATGACAAGGTAGTATATGATGTAGCCCTAGATTAATGTGGTATATGATGTTAATTAATAGTGATTTTAGATCTTTAATATGAGTGAGATCTTTGTTTCCTATATTTAGAATTGATTTGTGAGAAAATAAACAAACAAACATTAGAAATATATTTCCCACATAGAAAGGTTAGATTGATTTATAGAAATCATGTCAATAATTGCATCTAACATGGACATTGTTCATGTTTTTTTCTAAGAGATGGTCAACAATTATTTGGTATTATTTTACCAAGTATAAGAGAGGAATGCAAAAAAGGAGAGGAAAGAGAGTTTAAGAAATTTTTTCTGTTTTCAAAAAATAAACAGCTTTCAAATTCATATTTATAACTTTTGAAAATTTATTCTTCTTTTGTAATACGACAAATATTATGAGGGTGTGAAAATTTGAACTTGTAAGGAGTATATGTTTTTATTGTTGAATTATAGACTTATAGTCATGTAGGCTTACTTTTAATTAAAAAAAAATTATTTTAATCTTTGCATTAACTATTTTGATTGGTTGAATTATATTTCCGTTATCAAACTCAAAGTACAATTTTTTAATAGTTTTTAACACCCTAGATGATAACTATAGTGACACCCAAATTCTCAGAGGAATAAGATTAAAATTAAAGTAAGGTTATTTTGTAAAAAAAAAAAATTAAAGTAAGGTTTGTGTATTAATTTATTGAGATATTAAAAAATTAAGGTATAAATTTTAATGGTCAGGACCACACCGTGCCTCGTGGAATTTCGCATATGTATGCTTAACACTTTAATGATTCTGTCTAATACAATAATAGTGAATTAATTATAACTTCAAGTTGCTGATCAAAAAAAAAATTATAACTTCAAGTTTTTTTTTTATTTAAATTTGAAAAGATATGCTAAGTTTTTCAATGATTGATACATATGAAATATGAATACTAACTAATATCTATATTAAATTTTTAAATATGATTTAATCATTTACCATTAGATTTAGAAAAGGGAAAAAAGGGTAAAAATCACTATTTCTCAATAGGGTAAAAATAAAAAAGAAGTTAAATTATAAGCTTCATCTTAATTTTAAGATTTGAGTCTATTTTCATTTAATGCTTATACTACTAAATATTTAAATTTATTTTAAGTCTATCTTATTTAATTTTTAAATAATATAATCACTAGATAATCATTAACCTAAGGTAACTAATAACAAAAACCTATTTAACATAAAAGTTTAAAGTCAGAAAGATTTATTAGAAATTTATTAAAGTTGAGGAAGTACGAATAGGGATTTACATTTAACTTTTAAAATTAAAAAGATTAAAAAAAATTATAATTTAATGAAATCTTTAAATTAAAATATTGTGTAGGTACAGATTGCCAGGGTGGGCTACGGCCTCCCCTATAGAATCGCGCCGCTTTGGTTTGAGCCTGGAGGCACGCTCATGTCAGATTCTGTCCAATAAAATCCCGCCACGTCATTCCCATTTAAAGTTTTTTATTTATTCCCCCATCTGGATAAATAAAGTGGCCAAGTGGGGACCACCCGCCCACTGTATGTGATCCACGTCAGCATCTCTCTCCCGAGGCCTAATCTCCATAAATCCTGCTACAGTTTCAACAACGGAGCTTCCATTCTAGGGTTTGCCGATCTCCGACTGAAAATTCTCCATGGATTTAAAGCTCTCGAAATCGCAGATCTTGAACGACCCTGCAGTTGCGCGGCGCGTGTTCTTCCGCGTCTTTCTATTCGCCTCCGCCGTCTCCATCATTCCGATCGTCCACATTCTCACCACTTACGATTTCAGAAACTTCCATTTGCCCCAATCCCAAGGCTGCTACGCCGCCGGCGGCCAAACCCTAAAAAACTCCGATCAGCCCCCCCGGGGGTCCTATCTGTTCCAGGGCCATTTCCTGAACCCCGTCTGGGATTCTTTCGATTCCGTCCATTGCCAAGAAAATGTGAATCTCACGATCTCGGCGATCAAGTTGCTGGTGGATGAGAAGCATTTGTTCAACCACAGCGCGAAGGCTCTGTTCGTTGGGGGGAGTTCGTCCTCCGCCGTGTCGGCGATGAGGGATCTGGGGTTTTCCGGTGCCGTCGGCGTCGATAAGGGGCGGGTTCTCTCGCTGAAGCGGAAGGAGTTTGGGTATAGACTCGATTACGCCAATGGGTCCTTCGATTTCGTTATGTTCAGGGGAAAATTTAAGGTCTCTGTTCCTGATTTGGTGGTGGGCGAGATTGAGCGCGTTCTTAACTCCGGCGGAATTGGGGCGGTTGTTTCCGGCATCAGTGCTCCGGCCGCCCGAGTGGGGAGCTTACTGAAATCTTCCTGTGTTGTACATTCGGGCCGTGTAAATAACTTCTATATGACTGTGTTCAAGAAGGAATTTCAAAACGGTGGCTGCTCGGGAAACAGAACTCTGCTGGAGAATTATTGAAGGGATTAAAGGAAAGAAAGAAGAGCGATGGGATTTGTCTGCAGAAATCTGGGTTGTTTTCTGCAGTTACCACAACTAATTTTGTTGCAGTGTTGTCAATATGATGTTGAAACGAAACCGGGCTTTGAAGAATGAATTATTTTGATGTAATAATAAAGAAGGTTGGTTGATGAGAGGAGAATTAGCATGATATGAAGCTCAAAAGCTTGTTGGGTGGAGGCTATGGCGGATGTGAGAGCTAAGAGCAGAGCAGTTCAAGTTGTGGTTGTGGGGAAGACTGATGAATCATGGGAAACCCACAAGATCCTTTTTTTTTTTTTTTCAAATTGTTTTTTGTTTAATTTCTTGTGAGGTTTCAGGTGATGAAAGTTGTTGTTGTGCTCTTCGTACTGTTTTATATGGAATAGTTTTTACCAAGATGTGTACTCCAAATATATATATATATGTATCTTATGTAAAATTTAAATTATAGTTCTATTTATGATACGTCATTTGTTACAATTTAACATCATTAATTAAATTATTATAAAAGAACATTTATTGACAACATATTTTTCCTATATGTGAGCTAATTTTTTCAAGTAGGGTAATAAAGGTCACTTAGCTTAAATCCAAGGGGAGTGAGACTTGGGAGTTGTTTTTCCTACATCAGTTTGCATGATTGTCATTTCATTGCATGGGGTGTATAATGGTAGGTTGGACCAACTAAATAATTTGAGTGAGTTAGTTCATCTCTGGTTATCAGAAATATTTGGCTCTTTAATTGTAAAAAGCAATTTTGTCTTTGATACTATTAAACGTTTGACACCTAACAGACAAAAATGAAAAAACATTGACTTTGTATTAAAAAAAATTAATGAATTGTTAATTTTTTAATAGTGGTGCGGACAAGATTTGATTTACACAATTAAAGAGTCAAGTATTTTCCTCATTGAATAAATAGAATGCAATGTTCAACCAAACCCTATAACTCTTAAATTTTCGAGTTGGGTTGTTTCGAGTTAAAAAAGAAAAGAGATAATTGATCAACACAAAAAAATTAATTTAATATAGGGATTGGTTGAGATCTCTATAGTCCGCACGAAAATGAGTGATGATGAGTGATTAAAAACTTTACCGTGTGTTTATGCAAAGATTTGCACAACGGGGTTTGCGAACCTAACTCAAACCCGGTCACCAACTCGACCCGAACCGTAGAGTAAACTTGCACAAGAGGATAAACTCTCCGACGATCAAGTCAGTATAGGTCGGACTCAATATTAAGTTCGAGGTGAGATTCGATACCTGCGTGTGAAATGTGGCCCTCTATTTATAGGTAGCGGGTCCGACAGTACTTGCAACCAGCGGTTACCTTTGTCTCTTTTTATGTAGAACATGTCGGGTTTGAGCAGATCGAATCCGTCCAGGTCGAACCATGGCTTTTTACACTTAGCTTTGTTTACGGAGAAATCCGATCTCCTCGGCAGGTTCAAGGTGGACCTGGAATACTCTTTTATTTCTAAGCACCATTGATCGTCCTCCACGTGTCTATGATATTTCTATCCCCAAACACCGTGCATAGAGAGAAAGAAAGAAAGAAAGAAAGAGATCGAAATATGCCTACATAGAAATTAGAAAAAGATAATCTTTATGCTGAGAAGAAATTAAACGACAATGAAATGGGGCAAAGACGACAAGACAAAATCTAGAACATAGATAGATGTTGAAAGTGAGTGAGATGTTGGAAGAGAGACAGGCTCCAAGATGAGAGAGAAACTAGTAAGCAGAAGGTGAAGGTTGAAAGAGATGGAATTACGGGAACGTGAATATTCTTTCTATTTACTGTTTATCTCTTCACAATACATATTAAAAAAATAAGAAATCCACTGATATTTAAAACTAGTAAATAGAAGAGAGAGAGATTTTTCAGTAATGCCTCAAGCGAAGGTGAAGGTTGAAAGAGATGGAATTACGAACATCATCTTCTGTAAAAATTTATCGTATTACGAGAATATGAATATTTTTTCTATTTACTACTTGCCTCTTCACAATACATATTAAAAGAGTTAGAAATCTATTAATATTTAAAAATTATTTATAAAAAATAAAATTATAGTATGACAAATGGTGCAGTTACTCCTGTAGTATTGAAAATTATCACGTAGTTCCCATAGGCCTCCAAACTCGACCAAGGATTGGCCTCAGTCAACGCTTTTGAGCTACTTTTTCAAAGTTGTTTGTTTGGGTGTGTGATCATAATCAAAATATAAAAGATAAGTGGGTTTGCCAACGCCAAGCTGTCAAATTTGAAATTTTCAACTATCATAGCTCCAAACCCCACTATACCAAACAGTGCTGAACATATCACTCTATGATTACCATCTTTTTCTTTCCTACACACCTTTTGATTTTTAGAAAAAGAAAAAGAAAAACCAACCCGACTCGATCAATTGAATCAAATCGAGCCATTTTTTCTTTCATCTTTTGATGTGGTTTGGCTTTAGTCTTAACATTCTACCATATCTATCATCAAATAGGTCATTGGTGAAAATTGAAATAATTTAAAACGATAATGTATTTGGATGTCCTAACTCGATATTTTACTATCAATTACTAATTTGAAGAAATGAAGAAAGTAATTTGATAGTGAAATTAAGTTGGTTCTCCAAGCCTTATGAGTCTTTTAGAGTCAAAGTTGAATAATACTTCGACTTAACAAAAGTCAAATTTTGTATATTTAAAATTATTAAAAAAAATTAGAATTACTTAAAAGATTAGAAGCCATTTCAATTTGTATATTTGAGTTAATTAAAATTCATTCAAAGTATTAGTTTTCATTAAGTGTGCACTAAGGTTTTCCTGTACACTAAGGTTTTCCTTTTCAATTTTCTATGTGTTTCTCCTGTCATTATCTCTTTTGTCTTTTTTTAAGAGGTGTGCATAGTTTTCATTATACGTACACTAAGGTTTTCCTTTTCGATTTTCTATGTGTTTCTCATATCATTATTTCTTTTGTCTTTTTCAAGAGGTGTGATGTATGTACAGAAATTAGTCTAGTCGTTATATGAAAAATATTGATAATTCAAAATTCAATAGTTTAGAGAATCAACCTAATTTCACCACAATTACTAACTTTTATTTCCTCGTCAAGTAGGTAGAATTTTATTTTGATGTCATGTGAGGAGATATCTGCAATAGTTAAGGTATTGCTGTACCGTACCTCCCTATAAATCGTAAGTTTGAATTCCCTATTCCTTTCCTATCCTATTGAACTCATAAAACAAAAACAAAAACAAAAAATGATTGGGGCCATTTTTATTTGACTTTTTATCAATTCCATTTATCAACTTTGTATTTTTATACTCTTAAGGTAAGAATAAAAATTGCAAGTTATTTTTTTTTTTAATTTTCTGAAATCGATATTGTGTGGGTTATGCTAGTTGTCTCTTTAACTAGGGTTCGTTGTTTGGGCTAAATAACAATGTGACTAGCGTATAGGACTCAAGTATAGAACTTCACATTAGATGATATCATAAGACTCATGTCCTTGTCAAAACGAGTATAACTCACAGTAATTGGTATATATACCTCTAACCAAGAGGTTGTAAGTTCGAATCCCCTCCTCAACATGTAGTACTAAAAAATAAAATAAAATAAGACTCATGTCCTTGTCATTACGCGATTTCAAGAGAAAAAATTGCAAATTTTTAAAGAATATTTCTAGAAGAAAGGATTACAAAAGGAATACAAAATCATAGTAAAAAAAAAAAAGGGAATGCAAAATGGTTTGAAGTTTTCTTTGTAGATGAAGATTGAAAGTCAAAAGGAAATAAAGTTTAAAAATTAAGTAAAAAGAAAAAGGGTCATCGGTCACGTGCATATTGTATTCAAACTCACTCGTTAAACGACATTTGGCAGATTTTCACACAGTCTTTCAAAACTTTGAATGCCAAATAAATAACATTATTTATACAAATTTAGAACACGATTATTTTCTTTTAATTGCATCTTTTTTTTTTTAATTAGCAAAAGTCAAAAAGACACCTCCATGGACTTTTTAACCCTAACTTGGTCGTCATTTTTTTTTTTTTCTTTTTTCTGTTTTTTTCATTATAATATTATTTCAGAAAGCATGCAAGTTTTTTTTCTTTTCTTTTTCCTAATGAGCTGAAAAAACAAATGGAATTTTGACTTAGTTAGATATTGGGTATTAGGGTCAAATACTCAAGCATGGAGTGATTTTTTACATTTGATTTCTTCTAAGACTATTTCCACCTTTTAATTAGGATCTAAGTATATGTTCATGTATAAAAGAAAATATGAATATATATATAAATATATATATATAGATTTTCAACATATAGATATAGAGAAATTTCTTGCAGAGATGAGATTTTTTAGACGGTATGAAATCAAATTTGATTGAATAAAAGTGGAAATGAAAAAAAGAAATATCTAATTAGTTTCGAGGATAGAGACAAAGCAATAATATCTTTTACCCATTTTAAATGTAAAAAAATTGAATTTGACTGAAAATAAAATTGAAAATGAAGAGACAATCGATTTAGTTTCGAGGATAGGGACGAAAAGAAATGTTGTTGTCTTGACTATGACTCCTACTTATCATTAAAAAGTTTAGGTGTGATCAATATTTATTTACTTTTTATTTATACACTTTGTATAAAATTAAATATTTTATAAGTTTTTATCCAAACTAATAAATGACTGTACGACTTTTATTTTCTTTCCTATTTAATATTTTGTTAATTTTTTAACCATAAAGGAGACTGAAAATCCTTAACTATATGGCAAGCATAATTTCAAAGAGATCAAAATTAAACTTTTTCCCAAGTTTAAAAGTAAGCGGAAATCTCAACCAAAGTATAAATAAGACAACAAAGGAGGATATTAATTATATCCACAGAAAGTTTCTCGACCTAAACATAGTTTAGTTAAATCTTCTCAAAGCAAAAAAGAGAAAAAGGAAAACTCCATTTTATATATATATACACATATACTTACTTTTTAGTTATTGATAACGGAGGATTGAACCTCGATAAGGAAGGAGTAAGATATACTCTTAACCATTGATCTATGCTGCTAAGACATTGTATTAAGAAGTTTGTAATCTACACTCTACCTTGTTTGAACTTAGATAAAGAATAATAAAAATTACTATCTTTTATTTTTTTGTAACAAAATTTATTTAGCGTCACTTGTTAAAATATTTGTAACACTGTAAATATACTATTTTATGTTACAAATTCATTAATTTTTTTAAAATTATAAAATATTGTAAGATAATAATTTGACAAAATTTATAACATATTAGTTGAAAATTAATTAATATTATTTTAGATTAACTAAATATTTAGTTTACAACAATCCAAGTTTACCATTATATTACTAAATATACATTAAAAAAAAATTGAGATTCAATTCATAAATCGACTACTAAATGCATATCTAAGAATGTTAAAAACAAGAAATACATATTCTATTTCTCATTTAATTTAATCATTGTTTCGAGATCATCAATCAAACCCTAAGTTATTGAATTAAAAATGTCTAACAATCTGTTTGATACATCAAATTTCGAGRGATTTCAAAATCATGACAGATTTCAAATCAATTACATTGTATGGTACCTCATAATTTTGAATGAAGATTTCAAATCTTAAATTTTATGTTAAAAAAAAAACTAATCAAAAGGGTCGGATTTAAATTTAATTTCAAAGCGAATTACCTATTTAACCTTATCCTTTTTTAATTTATAAATTAATAATTTTACATTAAAAGTTTAAATCAACAAAATTTGTATTTTTTTCCGGCGAACATACAACCAAAAAAATTAATTTAATTCATTTCAAATTATTCTCATTCCAAAATTTAAAATCGAGTTCAAATCATGGAATTTAAAATCATTTTTTTTAGCTTTTTCACGTTGAGCAGAAGGTAAATGCATGATATTAATATTCGTCAACATCTCCGTGTATCTACAGATTCGAAATTGACATGAGAGATAAATCGACATTTCTATAATATTGTAAAAAATCGACAAAATATAAAAAATATCGATAAATTTTTACTAATATAGACATAATATTAGTAATGATCATTTTTAACTTATTTAAAAACGGTGAAACGATCGTCGATTATTTGTTATTTCAATTTTTTTTTTTTTTTGCGAGTTCTATAATTTTAATTTTTTCAGAAATATCTATCCAACTTTAAATTTTATAAACTTTTCCACGAATATGAGAGAGGTGCGTAGAAATATATCAATCTTTAAAACCTTGGGTAAGTGTAAGTATTGAACTAAAGGAGAGGTTGAGAGGAGGTCTGGTTTCGAGTTTAGCATGAGAATTTTGAGAAATGGAGCGGGAAACACAGAATTCTTATTCCTCGCCGAAAGCGATTTGTGGGTCTCTCGCCACTCCTGCTACAGTCCTTACCACGACCATCTTTTCTCCAAATTTATACTGTAATTTTGAACAGCAACCTAGTATTGATTTCATTATTGACCAAACTCTTCTCTTTGATCATTTCAAATCAATTATACCCGACTTCATGACTTCTTTTCCCACCCAAGGACCAATTTCTTGTCAGAATGGGTTTTTTGTTTGCTGGGTCGTCAACAGGTTTCCAATTTAATATTTCCAATTTGTTGTGGAACGATTCAAACCCCTGGCCTTAATAATCTCGCGGCCTCCCGGAATCCCCACTTGACCAGCAATATCCCATCTGATCGTTCTCCGATTCTCTCCCTTTCGATCAATTTTGGTGGGACTATGATGCTTATTGGCTGAATCTTTTTGAAATCAATCGCAAAATGAAGTTTCGATTTCTTCTTTCTAGTTGCTGTTCTGCACGATCGCCGACGGCTATGGAGAATGGCTGCCACGGTAACGATTTCTTCTGTTCTTTGCAATGTTTTGTTCAGTGGTTTGTAATTAAGTTAAGCCCTCTGACTGGTTTTTTCATGAACAAAAGCAGATAGGCAAGACAACGAGGGTTTTCGTATATACTCCTACAACGAGCTTAAATCAGCCACCCGAGGATTTAGTGCGGCGAATAAGGTCGGAGAGGGTGGATTCGGCTCCGTTTACAAGGTATCGCAATCGCCCTGAATCTTAAGTACCCTTTTTGGCCATTTTTTTAACGCCTTCAAGGTTACTGATAAAATGCTTGAATGGGGGTTGACTTTGAAAAGGGCCGGCTTCGGGATGGCAGACAGATTGCTGTGAAGGTGCTTTCTATTGAGAAAGAATCCATGAGAGGAGAAAGGGAGTTCATATCTGAATTAACTTCACTTTCCAACATCAGACATGAAAATCTTGTAGGGCTTAAAGGGTGTTGTGTTGATGGAAGTGAAAGATATTTGGTCTATGATTACATGGAAAACAACAGCCTTGCATACGCTCTTCAGGGTATTCAATTTGTAACTGAGTCTGAACTCCTCTTCATGATGATTTATATAAATTTGCAACGGTTCTAAACTGCAACTATGCTTCTGAAATCATGATTAATAGGTGTGAAGGAAAATAGAACGAAGCTTAGTTGGCAAGCCAGAAAGGACATTTTGATTGGCGTAGCTCGTGGCCTTGCCTATCTTCACGAGGAGCTTCGGCCGCATATAGTTCATAGAGATATAAAAGCCAGCAATATACTCCTGGGCCATGATTTTATGCCTAAAGTTGCGGATTTTGGATTGGCAAGGTTGTTGAGGGATAACCATTCTCATGTTAGTACTCGTGTTGCTGGCACAATGTGAGTCTATTTTTCTATCAATATGCTTGAATAAGTTAATTTTTTTTATTCATGAAACCCGTGCTCATTTGAAAATGGGAAAACAGAGGATATCTTGCTCCAGAATATGCTGTGAGTGGGCATTTGACACGAAAATCAGATGTCTACAGCTTCGGAGTGTTGTTGTTGGAGATTGTTAGTGGGAGAGCAACTGTTGATTTTGATTTGGAACATGGTGAACACCACTTGGTTCAGAAGGTAAGATAATCAAAATAAAGGAATCAATCTTGTTTTAGGTTGCTTGGTCTGGCATTATGCAGAACATTAGATTTCATGCTATTTTGTGTTTTTCAGGTATGGGAACATTACAAGGCGAATGAGCTAGTAAAATTGGTAGATCCCGTGCTCGACATGGACTTCCCCAAAGAAGAGATTGTTCGATTTATGAAAATTGGCCTACTCTGTGTGCAAGAAAACACAACGAGACGACCACAAATGTCTCTCGCAGTAAGCATGTTAATGAAGGAGACTGACCTAAAAGATCATCAGATTTCACAACCGGGACATATTATCGACTTCATGGACATTAAAATGGGTAAAGGAAATTCGTCAACAAGCATTTTCTCCAAGGTTTCCTCACCAAGTAGCATGCAAAGTTTCTGACTGCCATTGCTCGTCTCTGGGACGGATATTGACATTGAACCTTGGGAGTTGAAGAAGTGATCTCAGTTGGAGCCTTTTGAATCTACTGTGTGTACATAGAGAATTTGGTACATGTCTAAAGCTCTTACACTGTTTTTCCACCCTGAAAATTCATCATTCTGGGGTCGGTATCCCCTTGTATATTTCAGAGTGAATAACAGAAAAATGTGCACAGTTTTCTTTTATTTCTTCCACTTTATTCATTAGGATGGTCAAGTTACATTCTTTTTATCTCTGCCACCCAAAATCTGTAGTTTCTTGTATTGACTATTTCAAAAGCAATATGATACTAGAACAGTCCATTATGATCTTCATTAGTACATAAAATTCTTCAAGTAAGAGATCTGAATTGTTTAGAACAAAAAACAAACCAAGTCTTTCAAGATGATGTACTTATTAGGAAAAGAAACCTGAGCCAAGACATTGTTCTTGAGATTAAAATGTGTGGTTCTTAAATTTATGCATGCATGGCTCCTTGCATGCCATCCGAGAAGGCCACCTATTTTCCGATGATGGGCTTTGCAAATGGCATACAGGGAGCCAGGCATACGACAATATATGCTTCTGCAATCGAACCAAAAGAAGAAAGAAAATAAAGAAAAATGAAGTACCTGAATCAGATCACTATTAACCAAAACAACAAAGCTCTTGAACTTCAAAAGACAGCTGATTATTATAAGCTCACGGTTTCAGAAGATTTTGATTGGAAGGTGGGAAGAACAGGGTTGCCAGAGGAGTATTTATACAGAGGTTTTTATGTTTGAAAGGTTGGGGTCAGCCCTCCATAGTTATCTGTACTCTTTCTCCATTGGTTTTCTTTTACAGAAACAGAACTTGTAGCTTTTGAGCTGTCAACTTGAAAGAGAGAGAGAGAGAGAGAGAGAGATTGGTCTGTTTGATTTAAAAAGCAAAAGAAGTTGCTCTCTTTCTTTTGAAACCAGGTTGTCAAGGAGTGCTGGGCTGACTTGGATTCCAATCTTGTGTGTTTGAGCTTCAGAAAGAATGTCTTTTCTCTATCCTTGACCTCCAAAACAGTGCTTCTTTTTCCTTGTTTATCTCATTAGCAGCCATTAATGTTTAAGATATGGTAAGTGGTTTCAGAGGTTGGCAATGTTACTGGCATGGTCTGGATAGCACTGAGAAATTTTGTTTAATATCTCAATATTTGATTGATAGTTATTTATCTTTATTTGCAGCCAAAGAAACAAAAAAGAAGAAAAGTATGAACAGAGTGCACTTTTGTAAAGCCAACCAATTTAATATTCAATACACTTTTCGTTTATCTTTTTTGGACTCATCAAGTTCTTGAGTAGAACTTGAAACTGGGTTCATCAGCCTCATGTTTGAACATTCTGAAGGGAAAAGAGAGAGGATCAGATCTTCATGACAACCTTTTGTGGTTTCATCTCTATAGAATTAAAGAATCTCTAAAATGGAAAGCAAATGTAGTTGAAATTTATAGCAGGCAGCAGTTACGGCGAGAAACGAACCCGGTCTTTTGATTGATGGAAGAAGCGAATGGAAAATTCGTAAAACTCAATATTCAGAGATGTAACATGAGCAGACAGTTTCAGAAATGGAAACTCCTTTATTGAAAGAAAGTGTAATGACGAAGTATGTGTTCATGTACAAGCTGAAGCTCAATAACTAATTTACAGTTGCAGAGAACAGCACTCGCATAAGCTGTAAAAGAATATGTTCCGTTGCATCGATCAAAACGTATGTTTCAAACCCGAAAACCAAGTACTACTATTACAAGATTAATCCATCTTTAACAATTTGCTCTAACCAAGATGCAATATCTGAGATCATTGGTCGCTCGCTCGGATTTCCTCTTACAGCCAACTCAGCTATATCAGCAAGTTTAAGTAGGGGCTCCACGTTTCTTGGCAGAGCGGCGTATCGATCTATTATGGCAGCAGCCTTACCCTGTTTGATCAAAGGCACTGCCCACTCGACTATGCTTGAAGGTGTGTAATCTCTGTCACAAGCCTTCCTTCCACTGATGATCTCCAGCAACACAATACCAAAGTCATAAACATCGCTCGTTAAATCACCGCTAATATCGTCGTCGTTCGATGTAATAAGCCCAAAATCTGCAATTCTTGCTCCCCAATGGGAGTCCAAAAGAATGTTTGAAGTTTTGACATTTCGATGGACAACAGGAGGCATGAGTTCCTTATGCAGATACTCAAGTCCCCTCGCCGCCTGCATTGCTATTTTCAACCTCAGCGTCCAATTCAAAGGAGAAAGACCGCCGTGGAGATGATCGTAAAGCGTCCCGTGGGGCATGTACTCATAAACAAGAAGCCTCTCTCCCATCTCAGAACAGTAGCCCAACAGATTCACAATATTGCAATGCCTAATCTTACAAAGGATATCCAACTCCATTTCAAAGTCCCTACTGTTGGTGTGAATAATGGTAGCAGCATTAGCCCTCTTCACTGCAACCTGCTGCCCATCAGCCAGCACAGCCTTGTAAACAAAACCATATCTCCCCCTACCGAGCTCGTTAAACTCCTTGAACCCATTCGTCGCATCTTTCAACTCCGAAAGCCGAAAAATCTGAGCAATCCCAGGACACAGAGGAGCCAGAGGAGCACAGGAATCAGTTTCAGTACCACTTTCTAACTCGGACTTATGCTGTTTCTTGGTCGCATCCTTCTTCGAAGCAATGACGCGAGGATGAAGACACCAGCCGAGTAGAACCAGAACCAATCCAGCAACAGAAGCACCTATAATCAGCAGTATACTACGCAGCTGATGCCAATGCTTCTGCTTGGTTTGAGGAGATGATTGGACTCCACAAATATCCCAACAAGAGCTGTTCTGGCAAAGAGAGCAAGCAGTACAAATCCTATCAGAATTGTGAGTACAAGGGCTAGATAAGAAGAACCCATCAGAGCAATTCACTCCACAGCGCGAACAAATGTTCAGATCCTTCCTCACGCACAAGCTTCTCAAATCTGGCTCATTGAGAATGCTGGCATTGAAAGAGAACTCCCCTTCACGGCATGGCCCGGGGGCGCACAGCCCTGGACTGCACAGCTCCAGAGGAGGATCGTAGCCAGGGGGAGCCTCAGGGGAATGAGAAAACCAGCAATCAAGAACCAGATTGTCTTCTCTAATGCCGCAGATTGAGCGGTCCGATGAAGCAATCGCCATGAACCCTGTGTTTTTAGGGATCGAAGAGGCGTTCATGCTTCCCCAGCAGTTCATTTCGTGGGTATCGAATCGGATGCCGCAGAAATGCCGCGCGCCGGCGGTCAACGTCACATAGCCGGCGGATGTCGGAAGGCCGGCGAAGGAATCGGCGTTGCCCCAGCATTTGACTTCGCCGGAGGACTCTGAGATTCCGCAAACGGCGTCGCTTCCGGCGGCTAGAACTATGAAATTTTCGGAAACGTTTGAGACGTCGAGATTGGTGGAGTTTGGTCCCCAGCAGAGAATTCCTCCGTCTCGAAGCTCGGCGCAGCTAAATCCTTCGCCGGAAACTACCCTTTTGAAGACAAGGCTGGCAATTGATTGATTATAGAACAGAGAACTCTGTTTAGAACTCAGAGTATTGTTATTTGAATCTCTCGAGATATCCCAACAATCTACAGGACCCGAATCACTGTCAGAATAATAAGATCCCCTAATCGCACAAACGTGGCTCTTTCCCGCAGCAATATGCGAATAAGCAGTGGTTCGAAAAACCAAAGGAACGAGATCTATACCTGGATTTATCGAACCCCAACAATACGCCTGCGAGGTGTTTGCTAAAATGCCGCAAAGAAACCCCTCGCCGCCGGAGAGAGCGGCCATGGCCGGAATGTCGACGGAGAAGATAGAGGCGGAGGAAGAAGAAGATAGTGAAAGAGAGGAACTATTCTTCCCCCAACAAATGACTTCCTGTTTGCCGCTGGCATCAATGGCGCAGAAGAATCCATCGGGGCCAAATGCAGCAGAAATAGGCGCCATTGATCCAAACCCAGATGCGGAAACGAAGAAAAGATGCAAGAAAACAAAAAGGGGCGGCAGAAATTTAGAAGATTTGAAAAGGGTGCAATCGATTCCCATGATTTGATGAAGCTACTCACTCTCACTCTGGTGGGTTGCTCAGGAATAGATTCAGTTGTGTCATGGACTGAAATTAGAGCTCGTCTTGGTCTGGTCAAGTAAGAAGAAGAGGAAGAAGAAGAAGAAGAAGAAGAAGCAGCAGAAGAAGAGCTAAAATGGAGACGGGAGTCATGGTGACGCAGAGAGAACGTGGATTTCGCCATTTTTTTTACGGCTTGAGATTTAGATTAGACCCGTTGGAATCTGAAACTACTGAATATAGTTACTGCTGGAGAGTGGCGGCAGAGAGATGATCCAACCAATTTTACAGAGGAGAAAAGCGAAGGATTAAAGGCAAAGGGCAGAAACAAGATTGAAGAGTGGAGTGAAGTGCAAATTGACGTAGAAAATTAGGTGTTTTCATAATTGTTTAAGTTGTCTGTGTTTGTTTCTATCAAAAAGTACAATTTCTGATAAAAGCAAAAAAGCAGAGCAGCAGCCAACGAGACAAAACTTTCATGCCATGGTAATATCCTTTCTTTTTTCTTTTATGTCATAAAAATCCCTTTTATGGCAAATTTTTTATCCATCCGCGTGAAAATTACTGTTTATCTATATAGATTAATCGGTATTAATTTAACCTCTAGGCTCTATGTGACACACAAGTTATATTATTTAAATACGAAAAAATTTGTAATGGATAACTGAAATATTTGCTATATTTATAAATATAGCGACATTTTCTCTCAAAAAGAGATGAAATAATATAGTGATATTTTTGTCAATATGATAAAATATTTGAAATTTAATTTTTTAGATTATTTTAATTTTACCTTATATCAAATTAAGTATATAAATAAATCATGTATATCATATTTATTGTTTGGGTTACGTGTTTAACCTTCTGTTTGGCATCAAGAAAGTTGGTTAAATGATTTTAAATTTCGTGATTTGAAATCCCAAAAATGGTTTTAAATATTTTATCTTGTTTGGAACCAGAATGATTTGAAACGAATTAAATTAGATCTCTTTATTTTGATGTTTACTAATAGGATTTGAAATCGAATAAGATTTCGAATCATTCAATTTATTGTAGAACTTCAATCTCTTCAGCAGAAAATCAAATACTTTCTGGAATCCTAATTAAAATATAGGTTTTATTACTATTTTAGATCACTTTGGCTCATTTGAGCTACCCTCAGAACATTCATTTTGGTCCGTCTACTACATTTAACTTTTGTTCAGTTTAGTTCTTATTTTCAAAATGTCTATTTTGATACTTCTACATTTAAAAATGGAAATTTGAATTTTATTTGTAAAAATTTAACACAAATTTAATCCACAATGAAAATCCTTTATTACAAATTTATGTTTACGTTGCAAGAAAATTAGTGGGTAATGTCATGCTACAATTATGATCGAAAAAAATGAAATCAAAATGATCACTTTATTAAAATATTAGGACAACCAAAATAAAATACAGCAATTAAAATGAACAAAGTTGAAAGTACATAATCTAAAATAAACATTTTAAAAATCCAGTAAAAAAAATGAACCACGTGACTAAATAGACCAAAATAGTATTTAAACATAAAATATATTTATATGGGTAAGAAATACTATTTTATATGCAACAAAAAAATTACTTAGCTTTATATTTATATGGTAAGAAATACATTGATAAACATTAGATCTATTACTAGCTACATTTTAACCTCTTTGATTTTTTTATTATTATAAAAATAACTTTAATTTTAAGGGTCAATTTTCTACCAGTGAGAGTGAAAATATTAACTTGCTACATGCATCCTAAGAGGATTTTTATCACTTGTCATATCATTAATGCTTAATCAAATCATTTCTTAAGGAAAATCAGAGTATATATATTTTTTAATTCGGTTACATTTCTATAATAAATATATATGCTTTGAGAAATTAATTGGTGTGAACGTTATAATGACTTGTCTACCAGCCAAGTAACACAAATAATATAGTAACAAAACCATGTCTATTTGTTTGGAAAATTATTTTCAAAATACCTTTTGCCATTTTGTTTTTTAAATTTTCAACACTATGTTTAATGATAGTGATGGGATGGCTCATGATGATTAATTAGTAATGTACACATTTAAATTATTGCTTTCTCAAAGAAAAACTCTTATTGATAGTTTAAAAAAACATGTCATTTTGCAACTCCAAGGAATATGAAATAAATAAATAATAAAAATCCAAATTCATATACTTGAAAAAAAAAAAGAAAATTGTTTTTAAAAACAACACTAGGGAATGCATTAATAGTACATAATAGTAGTTGGCTCGCTGAAATTTAAGTAAGCTCAAAACCTACCCACAACTAGTTTAGTAATTAACCATTGATGATGCTAGCTTTATCGGTCCTGTCCACGTCATTGGAAGTCCACATCATCTGGGCCTGCACGTGGCGACGCCTAGTTCGGCAAAATCCCAAGCGGAAAACAAACTGGACGAAAGTTGACCGAACTCGTCCCTCACGATTAAACGGTCAAACGACATTCCTGCATTCCTCTCGTGCTAGCGCGCCTAATTCGCAGGTACGATAGGAAGGGGCAATGGGCTTTGACTAGCATCCCATCAACCGCCAACGACCTCTCGCCTAAATATTATGAATACCAAGCGAAAGGAAGGATAAAGGTACGTGAAGAAAACTCTAGGAGTAAATTGTGATATTGATTCCACAAACGCTGACAAAAGCTTTGGAGTGCTAACTCTGTTTTGTAGGATACAGTCTTGGAGTATCATCGAAAACTCTATTGTGATTATTGGAACGTTTTCGGTAAGAACGGCTATAAAGTATCAAACTACAATCAATCCTATATAAACGAAGATTATAGAATTATTTAGACGAGTTTAAAAGACTTTCGGACAAAATTCATATTTTCATAAGATTCAACTAGATACAAGTTATGACCCACAAGTACATTAGAATCATTTCTTTTTATGTACCATAAGCTAGAAAGAGTAAGGGTAATTAATAAGAGATGTATAATAACCCAAAAAAAAATTGAATTTAGACCAATTTTTAAACTCCAACTTGAGGAAAGAAAACATATTTATGAGAGAGAGAGAGAGAGAGAGAGAGATTTAGTAGCAATGAAGCAAAAATGCCAAATTGGATCACATGGTTGCTTGGTCAGAGATTGGCTGGCTTCTTTATTTGGGAATCAAAAGCCTGCCTACTCAATTTGAGTCAAATTTTACATCAATTTTGTGTGCTTTTTTAGACGTCAGTCAAACATAAAGCCCCAATTGGCTCTTCTCTTCTCTAAGATCTCATTTTTTACACAACACATATCTTATTGGTCAAATCTTGTCCAATATTGTAGGGTCCCCAAGCCCTTCATCCAATGAACCTAAATATATAAACTTAGCCTCCTTCTTATGATTTGCTGATCAAAACCAGAGAGAGAGAGAGATGTGATGTTACTGTTTTGTCAATCAACCTGAATTGATCACTAAACTTTGAGAATTGAATTGGACCCTCATTTTGATTGTAAAACATAGTTTTTTGAGTTGGGTTCTTTCTATAATCCCCTATTTTCACATGGGTTTGCTTTAATTTTCTAGTACAATGTGTTTAGCTATATCCATTGTATAAATACTTCGATTTTATCTGTTTTTTTCGAGTTCGAGAATGGATATTTTATCTAGAAGAGATTCAATGTGATTTGTGTGTAATAAACTGCATTTTTCCTCCATACAGAGCGTGAGTTAATGTCACACTATGTATGTAATTGACATATCACACCGACCCTCTTGTGATTTTATATCACATTGTTAATGTGGGTACAATACTTTCAATCTTGTCTTTGTCCATCAATGAAATTGTCATATCACACCGACCATGCATTTTTAGGAGGGAATACAAATTAAACAAAGTGTGTAGTTATCAATTATCTCAAATATATTATTTGAAAAAAAATAAGTTTTCCAACCGACAATAATTCAAGCATATTATGCACACAACAAAAGCGATAACTAGCATTATTCTTCGTGAATAAGAATAGGAGGGAGAAAAAAAAACAAATAATTAATTTTTAAACATGATGTGTTTAAAAAAACAAATCAATCTAAGTATGACATTATAATTAAATAGAAATTTCTTAAGATTAGTTAGTTCCTCAATCAACAATCAAGCTCTAAAACATGACAAAAAGCACAAAACCCATATTGAATGTGTAAAGATTTTATTTAATCAAAACTATATCTTCAATGAGGATTTGAATTTTTAAAATTTTTTGGGTTTTATTGAATGAATCATGGGGGTGTCACCACCAAACCAAACATGGAATGGCATTTTGGCTTGTGATTGTAAAGGCAGCCCACCATGGGTCACCCACCATGGGTCACCCACCATTCTTCAATGGCTGACATAGAGTTATCAAAAACAGGACAAATGAAAAATCAAATCCATTGGGGTACCCCAAAAATATAAAATAAAAAGATTAGACAAATGGGTTAAAGAGGGGAAGAATGACCCACACACCCTCCAATCTAAGGCTCAATCCAAACCCTTTCCCATGTGATCTCTGTCATATTGAATATATATCCAATACCCTTTACCAAAAACCCTAGATTTTCTTTTTCTCTTTTCAACTTTTTCCATGCATAATCTTTTTAAAAATGATTGGTTTCCATGAAAACAAAAGTGTGTCTTCTTTTTCATTGCATTTGAGCTTGTAGTTGTTTGTGATGTTGATAAGTTTGAGAATTAATTTGTGTAGCTTGAGACCGAGAAATTTGGTCGGTTGTAGATGTAGATCATTATTCGAATAAATGAATAATAGAGATTTGGATTTAACGTACCTTATTTTTTATTTATCGACTTCATAGCCATGTGAGGTTTAGGAATTTGTGTGTTTGATATGATAGGGTTTATTTATTTAACAAACTTATAAATCTAAAATAAGAAAATTCACACTCGGACAATATGAGCTCAACTTCAGGGTAAAGTTATAGAAATTTGACTTGCTTGTCAAATGTTGATCATTAAATAAAAAAAATTTTAAATTGTTAGATTATGATAAATTCAACCATATTACATTCATTCTAAAAATAAGATTTTTTTTTTTTTACGTCTGGATTGGCTCGTTGGTCTAAAGGAACCAAGGTAAATCAAAAAGATTTAGAACGAATTGGTTCAAACCTATGATAATGTCTAGAATTAATTATGGATATTAAAAAAATAAACTTTTAAAAGAATATAAAATAAAGACAAAACTATTACCCAATTCCAAAGAGAGAATATACTTGGCTCCTCAACAATTCAACATTTATTTACAATGGTATTGTTTTAGTTTTTAATATTTACCGACTAATTTAAAAAATAGATATTACAAAATAATTAAAGAAATTGCTAATAGACAAGTTTAATTTTTTAAAAAAATACAGACCCTACATGATTATATTCCTTATTCCCAAGAATATCTATTTTAAAATTCATGTCCATAAATATATAGATATTACAAATAATTTACCCAAACAAAATTCATATTCTTAATTTTAAGTTTTTAACGTATATATCTCAATCATACATATTAATCAGACGGCCTCCACACCACATGATATTTAATTTATTTTCACATCTGATTTTGATTACACTAAGTTTATTTAATGAAATATTCAATGTTTGTAAACTAATTAATTTAAATATACAAGTCAAACCCATTAACTATGTTAATAAATTCCCATAACACATGATATATAATTATAAATTTTTAGATTGGAGATTTAACACCTGACATCAAATCCCATATATGACTGCATCATTACAACAATGCCCCTAATTTTTAGGGCATAAATAATAATCAAAATCATGTATTTGTCCTACAATTTTAGAACATTTCTCCAACAAACCATCCATAAACCAGAAACCAAAATCAAGGCTGTTTTCTATTTTTTAAAACAAAAAAAAGTTGTAAAAACTTATTTGGAAGACTATTTTTTAAAATATTTTCCCTTTTACTGTGTAATTACAAATTATCTTTTTTTAATAAAACAAAGTTGTTATTCTTTTAATGTCGTGTATTCTTATAAATCAAATATTGACAATTGCAATTGTTGTTGCTGAAATTTGGAAAGGTCGACGTGACCTATAGAATAGATGGCAGTCGAACGAATGAGCTTGCAACAACGATTTTTTATACCAGTGTAGTGTCCCGTCTAATACTCTCCAAATGGTCAAGTTAGTAATCGGAAAAAGAGAGCAAAGAGTACCTCACTAGTTTAGTGACATATTTTCACCTACCCTATGGTCTGTCTCTTTTAAAGGCGTTTTGGGAGACCAGGAAGGATGCTTAGCATGCGGCAGGGTGGGAGATTTTGGCAGTTCGTTAGGAGTCATTCTCGATGTGTGGTATGTGTCTCGTCACCTGTCGTCCTGTTCCTTTGCAGAATGCCAACTGCAAGAGATGTCGTGCCTCTCGTACTCTATCGCAGGTACCAACGTCACTCCCTCCTTCGATTGTACGTTTGTTGTGGTGTTGGTCCCCATTGACAGTTGTCGCTATTCGAGCCTCACATGCCGCTACTCGATTTTCACCTTCAACAGCAATACTAGATGGACTAGAAAAAAACCAGTATATCTATAAACAGTGATATAGATAATATACCACTACCAATTTCAAATTTTTACGAGTCGTTTAATTACAATTCTCAAAACATTTTAAAGTTAAGACTAGAAAACTATTTTCAAATGGGTTTTTCAAGTAACTCTCCAAATTTTAAACCTACAACAACTGATTAGAGTTTGTAGTCTAACAACATTTAGGTCATTATGAAGTAGTAGACTTATAATCGACAGGACAATAATGCCAATAACTTAACTATGCCTAAGTTCATAATAAATCTAATATTGATTCATAGAGTTGTTACTATCTTGGTAGGATCTAGATACATCTATTGAGCAGATTTACGTCTAAAAATTTACATAACCGAATAATATATAGTTTAATGTTGGGTATTTTAATAATAAATTCCTCCCTACATGCATTTTACTCCACCCATGATCATATAAAGTTGATATTTTTTGGAGTATCCTAGAGAGAGAAGCAATGTGATAATAGGCCGCGACTGACTCTCTTAAAAACTTATAAAGGGCAACAAGTTGGTGAATCGAGAAATTTTCAAATAAGATGTTATCTCTTGTTGCAAATATCACTTTTTTAGTAGTGGAAATTCGAACTCACGATTTAATCATAAATAAGTGTTTTAACTCGTTAATAAATTATAGCTGCGAGTTAGGTTGCAAAATTTATATTGCAATATATTTCTCTTTTTTTTTCTATAAAATGCACTTTTGGACATTATTATTTTCCGTTCTGTAACAAAATTTGTAAAATTGAGTACTACAAACTTGTCCTAATGAGATTTGTACAGTATTGTGTTATAATTGTTTGGATAGTTATGGGGTCTGGAAAATTGGTCCATCCATATTTGGCATCCCAATATTAAATGATCAAGATGGTGAAGAACCTGAAGATCATAAATATTTTTTTTTATGAACCCATAAATGGGAAATAAAAAAGTTGGGTTTTTTTTCCCTATAATTGTGTCTACCAGATTTAAATCTAACTAATGTTGGAAACAAGGCAAAATGCACCTTGTTGATTGAGATGTCATAATCTATTTATAATTTTTATTGATCTTTTTTCATAAAACCAATAACATAAAAAGAAATCAAGTAAGCTTTTTATTCTGCATTGAAAATAACATAAAAATGTTGAAAAACACATTTTTCCTAATTTTGAAAGATTTGCCTTTTTAGTTTTTCTGAAGAAGAAGAAGATCCATCAATTTGCGTAGGAACTCCTGAAGGATCTCAAGCTTTTAACAGCTCCTCCTCTGAGAACAAATTCATGGTAAATTGCAGCCATTGCAGCTCCAATGAAAGGTCCAACCCAGAATATCCACTGTTCACAACACAAAACAGAACAATTAGCTAATCAAAGGTTGAAGAAAACGGATTAATTAGGGATTTTGGGGAACCAGAAATGAAATTACGTGATCATCCCAAGCTTTGTCTCTGTTGAACATCACAGCAGAGCCGAAGCTCCGAGCCGGGTTGATACCGGCGCCGGTGACCGGAATCGTGGCCAGGTTCACGACGAACACGGCGAACCCAATTGGGAGCGGCGCCAGAACCTTCGGAAATTGAGGATAAATTTATTAGAATTTTGGGGGTGAAGAGGCAGAGGGTAACAAATTAAAATAAAAATATGATGAAATTGAAGTTACAGGAACGTGGGAATCTCTGGCTTTTCTCTTGGGATCGGTGGCGGAGAAGACGGTGTAGACAAGAACGAAGGTTCCGGTGATCTCGGCGGCGAGGCCGGCGCCGGCGCCGTAGCCTTGGGCGAGCTCGGTGGCTCCGCCGTCGAAGGAATTGAAGTTGGGCTTTTTTAGTGACTTAACGAGCCCACACCCACATATGGCTCCCAAACACTGAGCCGCTATGTACAGTACGGCTCTCACCAGCGACACCTTCCGCCCCAAGAAAAGCCCAAATGTGACTGCTGGGTTAATATGTCCTCCTATCATGTCGATATGATTACGTTAGGGTCAATTTTGCATTTTAAAATTATCTATAGTTTTTTATTTTCTTTTTTAATTTGAATTTACGGATGTTGGACCGTGCAATTCATTTTTATTTATTAAAAATAAAGAAACATAAACAAAAAAATAATAATGGTACCAAACGAGCACTATTAACATTGAGTCATATTAGGTTCGAATTCTTGTATTACCCCACACATAATCATTTTTTTATTGTTTAACTTATTTCAATTTAGTCCCTCTCGATTTAACGATTTCAATAACTATGTATAAAATAAAGCTTCAATCTACGACCGAACTACCTAAAAACTCAATAATCCAAAGAGCCTTCACTCTCCTCGTGGAACTCTACAATTTGTATTTTCCAATTTTAGACAATTCAAAAAGAGAATAGGTAGAAAACTCCATGTTTCTCCCTATAAAAAAGTTCACCCTAATTCTCTGCTTAACACAACCTCAGTTCTAATTTTTGCTTAACACAACCTCAGTTCTAATTTAAGGATTCGATCGTGTGGATGTGTGTTTTCTTTATTTTGCAGAATTAAGAAGAGTAGTGTGAAATTGGTAATTTTGTTCGGCTAATTTTGTACGTCAACAATTATTTCTCTTGATAAATGTTATAATTAGTTGATGATACGTTTATATGGTGGTATAATATTTAGTCCCCCGAAAAGTAATGAGGTTAAAAGTGTAATTTCATCTTCTTTTTTTTCCTCGGGATTAAAAACTTTTAAAAAATGATATAATTGAAAAATATTAAATATGTAGAAAAGAAAATTTCCTGGGTGAAAGTGAGAGAGCAAAAGTCACCAGAAATGCCGGCGGTACAGTAAACGAGAACGAAGATGGTGCCGCCGAAAGCCCAAGCGATACCCAAAACTCCAAAGCCGCCGCACGCGGCGGCGGAAGCCTGAGTCTTATCGCCAATCACAGTGAGCACTCCGACGTACAAAAACAAGAGCGTGGCAACGAACTCAGCGATAACGGCCCTGTAAAACGACCACCGGCCAAGCTCCCCGGCGTCGAACAATGGAGCCGGCGGCTGGTCCAGGTAGTCACCGGCGGCAAACCCTCCGGCTCCGGCTTCAACATCCTTAGACATAGCTCTGGCTTTGGCTGAAGGAATTAAACAGATACAGAGTGATCAGTGAATTAAGAAGCTAAGAGAGATTGGGGATAATTAAATAGCTAAAGAAATTGAAATATGCTTTGGATATAAAATTGGAATCCATGATTGCTAAAGCTTCCAACGGCCTCGATTTCTTCTCCATGGAACTTGTCTTTCCTCTTGAACCTTGAGAAAATGAAAGGGACCAGGAACAAACTTGGCGGCAAAATTTGTTTCATGTTCAAATCAACTTCCATGATGGAATTATTATTTGCTTCTTGTATTTTTAATATTTTATAGAGTAATTACTGTATTTCGGAAGATACTAATGATTATGCAACTATTTACTAATGTCCTGGCCAAATTAACTAATTAAACTATGTTTTTGTTTGTTGTAAATATGAACCATAACAATTTTAAGGAAATAATTGAGATTAATCAAGTTCTTTCTTTCTTTAATTTCTCCTTATTTTACTCCAATATGATTAAGCCGTTTGGAAATGGCAATTGAGGAATGCTTGAAAAACTGTCAAATAGGATATTCAGCACCTCTCTTGATAGAATCAGATTCCAGTTGGAGGTCACTATATTCTCACTAATTATACATATAATTAAACAATGAATTTATATTTATCAAAGTTTTTTTTAACATTTTTAAATATAATTTTACATTTTAAAGTTTCAAATTTAAAATTTAAAAATGATTGTATGATTGGAGGGAGTAAAGTCGTCCACGTAATTTCTTTATTTTTTTATTATCTTTTATGGTAAAGAAATGTATGAATTTAAAAATAGTAATTTTTATGTTTTTTTAATACAACATGTGGAGGAGGAGATCGAACTCACTCGGAGATATATGTCAATTACCGATGAAGTATCACTTTGGCTTTTATACATATATATATATATATATATTTTAATGCGTTTGTCAATTACCACAGCATTTTAATTATCGGTCGAATTTCTGTAACAAGCAAGTTTACGTCAAGTTACTTGGCGGTTAAGTCATATAAAAATGTGAGGAAACTTTCTAGTAATCTTATAAAACATATTTCATAGGTTCATATTATCCATTTTCCTTTATAAACTATTCTTTAATGTTAGTAGATGCTACAATATTTTTAAATAATGCTGTGATGGTTAATGATGAATGAGAATAGTATTCGTACTAATGAAAATTTCTAATACAATAGGGGTATAAACTCTAAAATTGTCACTTTTTAAAAGTACAATAGACAATAAAATTAATATTATAATAATACAAGAATAAAAATGAATCAAATCTGAATATATAAGAATCGATTTTTTTTAAAAGGAGAATTTATAATTCGTTAAATGTTGAATAATTTTAGTAAAGTAGTGTTACTGTTTATAAACATTCAATTCAGTGTACAAACGTCAAAACGAGCATAACTCAACAGTAATTCTTTCAACCTATTAAAAAACTAACTGTGCAAACATGTCAATCAAGAACATAGTTCACTGTCATCCTAAAATCCCATAATAATAATGACAAAGATAATAATAATAATATATAAATATATATAAATTTTAAAATAATTTGTTAGTACTTCTTATCTAATCAAATTAATACATGAATATTAGTTAAAAAATATACAAAGAAGTGGATGAATTATTGACTTTAAAAGTTAAATTGATAAAGTTGTCCAAGAAGATGTTAAATTCATAAAGTATGAAAAATAGCTAATTTGTGAATTAGAAAAGAAGAAAAAACTCCAATTTGCTAGGGTAAGGCCAATAATTTTCTTTAATTATTTAAAACTATTTAAGGAAAATAAATTTCAAAAATTTTAATTATACTAATTATAGACGTATTTTCAATCAACTTATTCGTAAAATGATTTCATATGCTAATTTACAATTTTATTCGTAGAATTATCATATAAAATAAAATAGTTTTTAATAGAAAAAAATACAAATACAATTCAAATATTACGACCCTTCCTATTCAGGGAAGAGATTTGTGTTCTTTACAGGATCTCTCGCCTCGCGGTTCCAAAATTTCTCTGTTTCTCACTTTCGTATTCGGATCGTCTCTTTTCCTTTGAATTCGGGTATGATTCTTCCATCATTTCTCTACTTGATTGAATATCTTTCAATTGGCGTCTGTGTTTTCTTTTCCTATGATTTGATCTATATTTGTTGCAGTTCGTTTTGTTTTTGAAAAACCTTTCGTTGAGATTTCTCTGCGTAATGGAATTTGGGGAATTGAATTGTAGTATCTACCGGATCAGCGACTTAGGTTCTCTTTTTGTTTTGAGAACGTTGTACGGAAACTTGATAAATTGTTACCAGTTTGTATTCGCTTTTTGCTGGGAAGAAGATCGGATATCGAACTGACGGAGCCAACTCGACCACAATTTTCTGCACTTTCTATTTTCTCTGCTGCCAAGCAGAATGTTTACTTTCTGTAACTACGTTGGTCTAGACCTCTCTGTATTTTGTTGGTGACATTTGATTCCGGTCTTGAATTTAAAATCTTCTTCTATTTAGGTGACTATTTGAAATTTTAAGTTCCCTTTTTCGTCTCTCTACGTAGTTCAGATAAATTGAGCAATTGGGTCATGCAATGCCATGAAAGAGAAACTAAGACCGTGGAGGAATATGCCAAACTTCTCACTTCTTTAAGAAAATGACTATTATCAAAATTTCCTAGACAAAGAGCATATTTTTTTCAATAGTATTTGTGAGTTAATCGAAAACTCTGGATGATTCATCTAAGTTTTTAGGGTGTGTAAACAATTACCAAACTAAAACAACATTGTGTTTGTATGTGATTTTAGTTTGAATTTTGAAATAGAAAAAACCTAATGGAATATTTACATCAGAATGCAAGGATGCCAATGTTAGGGTTCTGCATCTTGTTTCGGATAGACTATAATCATTTAAATGGGCTTGGTGATAAACTTCTCAGTGATTTTTTATGAGATCATTTGCCTTTTTTTTTTCAGACAAGGTTTTACACGATGTACATTCACTAGTCGAAGTCAAACCCTTTTTGGTTATTAAGATGAGGAGAACAAATCAGTGGAATATAATGATTAAAAAGTGAAAACAGAACTGAGTCAGTGACAATTAGAATACTAGTTTTTGGGGTTTCCTGTCGTCAACGTGTGTCACTGTAAATGATAACATCTTGTGGAGTAGATAGGCTTCTGAATATCCCTTGATGGTCCTAAAAGTTTTCACCTTCCCATTTTTCATCTTTTGGAATTTAATCCAATTATTGCCTGACCTTGTTGGTTTTCTTAATCTTGTAGTACTCAACTACAGTTATTCTAGGGAGCTTTTTGTGGGTAGTTTGCAATGGATGAGAGGCTAATGACCTGGTATCCTGTGATTATAATTTTCACGTAACAGCTAAAATATTGGTTTGTTGATTTTACATAGTTTTTATGAATAGTAATTTTTGCTTTCTGATTGGTTGGATCTCAGATCTGATACTTCCTGGAAAATTTCTTCAAAAATGCAATCCATAGTAACCTGAAGGTTGGGTGATTTTGTACTCCATATTAGCTAGACTATTTTTGAGTTCTACGAAGTTTCAGTTAAAAGGTTATATTACTGCATTTTTATATGTATGCCTGCCTTCAAAAGTTGCTTGCCTTTCACCTACCAAATCTATTTGTTTAATCTTTAATCTTCTTCACCTAATTTTTTGCAGTCGGTAAAAGGTTTACCATGTTACAGAAACGGTAGATACATTATCTGCCTTTTGGCATGTGAGAGCGCATACGTGGAATGGAAAGGAAAATGATAGATGAATTTGAACCAGGTCCACTTCCTTCGCCCAAGCAATTAGACAGATTTGGATTCTTAAAGCAGGAATCTAATAGTTCTCCAGATACTTTAACCAAGAACAGGTCTACTCATGTAAATGAGAGGTATGCTTTTATTCATATCATGGCTCAATAATTTTCAACATTCTGCTTTTCTTTATCAAGGATTGAGTTGATTGTGGATATCCTACAATTTCAGGGAGGAAAGGAGAGTCAGAAAATGGAGGAAGATGATTGGAGTTGGAGGGAGTGACTGGAAGCATTATGCTAGGAGAAAACCTCATGTTGTTAAAAGGCGTATAAGGAAAGGTATTCCTGATTGTTTAAGGGGTCTTGTTTGGCAGTTGATTTCTGGAAGTCGAGACTTATTGTTGATGAACCCTGGAGTTTATGAGGTATTGAGTTTTTCAGAATTTGTTTTGAGATTGTGGTCCAAAAATGAATTTCTATAAATATGGTCGTTGTAACCTTTATATAATCTAAAAAGTATTTAGTTACAGTATCCTAAAGAATTCTCCAAAGTTCTAGAGTTCTAAAAATATATATGGCTCTTCTAAAAGCTTTAGATATTTAATAAATGAAAGTTTTCTAATTAGTTTAATTAGAATTGATATTTTTCTTTGATTGAAATTATGTTTAACTATTTGAACTTAAAAGAAATATGGAATGCATTCTCGAAGTACTAGAGTTTTTACTTCACTATCAAATTTGGAAAGTGGGCTTATTTGCTATTATTTGGTGTATTTGGTTAGAAATAAAAAATAGTTTTCTGGCATAGAGGGACTCAGGGAGACAGGGACCTTGAAAAAAGGTGTGGAGTGTGGCTCACTTCAATGCCTATTTTTGGACCAATATTTCTAATTTCATTTCAGGTGTCCCTTTGTTTTTTATTCTTAATGATTGAATTCCTTTCTCGTAATTATTTTTGTGGCTTTCATGATTGCTTTGGCTTGTGTCGTACAACCTAGGGGTATAATTTTTCACTCTTATTAATGAAAAAGTTTTCTTTTCAACAATTATTTACATCTCAAATTAATTCAAAAAAGAAAGAAAGAAGGAAAGAAGAAGAAGCAAATAGATGATAGAAATCAAAATCAAAATATCAGGTAGGACAAAGCGCTTTATGTTTCATCTATGGGATGCCATATGATATGATTAGCCTGACTATCTATGAATGGCATGTAGTATTTATAACTTGATCTATTTATACGTTGCCCGACTACTTATGAACATGTTTCTGTTCCTCTTGTATGAGGATGCAATGGTAATTTTGATTTGCTCTACTCATCAGTAAAGTAGACACTCTATACACTTATCTTACATAAGGCAATACGTGAAAAGTTGTTTTTATGCTCTTTGTTTCTAGTCTTATAAATTTATAGCTCTAAGGATTATTGGCAATGAGTTGCACATTTTTTGCTGCAATTGGTAATATATGAGACATCAGCTTCTGAATCGGGTATACTTTGAGATATCACTCATACCTTCCCTTCACACGTTTTCCTCCAATACATGAAAAGATTATTTTTATGCCCTCTTTTTAGTCTCATTAATTTATTGTCCTAAGGATGATGGTAATGAAGTGGCATATCTTTTGCAGCAATTGGTAATATATGAGACATCAGCCTCTGAATTGGATATCATTCGTGATATCTCTCGTACCTTCCCTTCACATGTTTTCTTCCAACAGAGACATGGACCTGGTCAAAGATCTCTCTACAATGTTTTAAAGGCATATTCTGTTTTTGATCGGAATGTTGGATATGTTCAGGTTCTGGATCTTCTATGCTTTATCATCAGTCCTATATTAACCATTTTATTCAATGGTGAATGATATGGTATTGGTTTTGAACATGCAGGGGATGGGATTTTTAGCTGGTTTGCTGCTTCTCTATATGAGTGAAGAGGATGCGTTCTGGCTCTTGGTTGCATTACTTAAAGGTGCAGTTCATGCTCCTATGGAAGGATTATACCTGGTAACTCTGTTCTTCGAGATCTCTCTTTTATAGTGAGTTCAACTTTGCAGTAGTCAGCAGTCCAGAAATTTGAGAATCAGGACAATTGAATAGACACAATCTCACTTCTGGTGTTTTTTTGTTAATCAAAATAAACTTTTTAGTAAATATGTGAAAAGTATTGTGAAATGATTGAATGTTGGTGGCCGATGACTAGACCCATTTGTCTGGGAGGTTTAGGTACCAGGAACATCAAGGATTAGAACATTGCTTACTTTCCACATGGCTGTGGTGCTTACCTATTGAGAGAGTCTTAGACTCTTTTTAGAATGAAATGACTAGGAAAAAGAATAAAGGAAATATGTCTGGTTGGTTACCATAATTCCTTGATGTCTATCTTCATCTAGGAGTGCTGGGTCTTTTATAGCTGTTTCTAACCCGTAATAACCATGGAGTTGGTTATTACCTATAACTAACTTGCGTAACGGCTGACTGACTTCTTGCTTGCTTGCTATCTTAGCCTGGGTTCAGCAGTAGAATAGGAATAGAACGAGCAAAACAAGAAATAAGGAAAAGACTTCTTACTGCATCAGCTCCTCCCTCCCTCATCAAGAACTTTGTTCCTGAGTATTAGCTAAAATTTGTGAGGCCGTTTAAATTCTGATAGGTCTGCCTCATCAAATGTAGGTGAAATGCTAGACTCTTTGGGCGAGGATACGACATAAGCTCCAGAGCCAATTTTTTGTAGATGCGATGTTTTAACTCTTTGAGCGAGCCCCCATCACAACATATGCTCCAATGCCAACATTTTATAGTATCCTGCCCGGTCATACCTAGTCCACGGAAAGCTGAAACCAGCACAAAGCTTTCCTCAAATCCTCCTAACATAAGTGCAGGAGATAAAGAGATGGTCAATTTCTGCTGCTTCACAAAGTACTTCACAATTTTATCTCTTACTGGTGACCTCCTAAGCGCAAGAAGTCGAGCCAAGAATTTAACTTTCTCATGCACTTCCACTTACTAAATCAAGTTAGCGAACTTTTCTGAAGACACTATTCCAGCATAAACTTAAGATGATTTGCTAGTGAATATAAGTAATTGATCAAACTTCCTTCAATTCTGACCTCACCTACATTTAACAGTCCTCAAGAAGTTCCAGGAGATTGTCCCATTCGGCCACCTTTCTATTATTGAGTAACCAACATTCAACTCTTCATAGCAGAGCTTTGTTGTACTAGGTCTTACTTTGATTCTAATATGCTTTTCTTTTGTTTTAATTCACCCGACCATGATTTCTGCATGATCAGATGCTTGTAATGGATGGTTATAAACTTGCATGAACTACTCTAGGGTCGTTGCCAAGTTAATGGTGGTGCGCAAGGGAAGTCTTGCAATCAATTATGTTTCTGTGGGTTTCATTCGAAAAACTTTATTTCTTGGTGATAGGCGGGGCTTCCTCTAGTGCAGCAGTACCTTTTTCAATTTGATAGCCTTGTGAGAGAGCAACTGCCTAAGCTTGGAGAGCATTATACACGGGAGATGATAAATCCTAGCATGTACGCAAGCCAATGGTTTATTACTGTTTTCTCTTACTCCTTCCCCTTCCATTTGGCTCTACGAATTTGGGATGTCTTTCTTTATGAGGTTGGTTACTTGAAACCATGTGAATCCTTTTACTGAAACAAAATTCTTCTACAAGAAATCTCACACGTGCTAGTATTGTTTCCTCCCACAGGGTGTTAAGATTGTTTTTAAAGTTGGTGTGGCTCTTCTAAAATACTGCCACGATGACTTGGTGAGTAATGAATTGCTTCCAATGGATTCAGCAACCAGATCTACATTGCTTCTTAATACTAATATTATTTTTTACTTCTCACAGGTGAAGTTGCCTTTTGAAAAACTCATACATGCTTTACGAAACTTTCCGGAGGATGCAATGGATCCAGATACATTATTGCCCATGGCTTACTCAATTAGAGTACATCCTTTATTCTCTTTCAATCTTGGCCAACCTTTATATTCAGTGGCTAAATTCTATCCCCAAAAGAGAAAATTGACAATATGTAGATTGAGCATAAATATTTGATATCTGAATTTGTTAGATGGAACTGACAGACATGCTATCATAGAATTTAAACAAACTCATAGGGTCATCAGTAATTGGTTTGGAAAGTTCATACGAAGGAATCTGATGAACAAGATTACACATTGATGTTTATTTCTACTTTCTTGAAGATTAGAAGTTTGAATTTTGTTGGTTGGTTTGTGCTTAATGATTAGGTGTCGAAGCAGCTGGAGGAATCCAGACATGAGTATGAGAGGAAGCATGGAAAGGACATTCAGGATCAGGATGCTGATCTTAATGGGAAGCAACCGCAGCTGAATTGAAGGTTCTTTTCCCTCTCTCATAGGAGCAAAGTGTAACCAATCAAAATCATTTCCTGATTTCTGTGGCTTCTGAATTGTCTAGAATGTAAATTGAATGATGCATAGTCATCATTTATCATTTTAATTATTATTATTATTTGCTTCATTAGTACAAATGTCTTGTAAATCCCTAGTCCTAACCCCCCCTTGTGGACAAAACGTTCATAAATTTTCACAGCTTATATCTAATGATCAATATTTACATTTTACAGTTTAAAACTTCTCTTTGTGAAATGGAATGAATAGTTGTTAGTCGGAAGAAGTAGAAAACTACATTAAAGCCTTTTTGGGAGCATCCTCCATCCCATGATGTCGTGAATTATTTGATATTCACCTCGATCTTAAGATCTAGACAGATCTCACGAGACAACATGAATTTAAGATTTAATTAGACACTCCTAGTTTAGAAACCTTGAGGGTTGTAACCCTCAAAGCTTAAAAGATAAAACTGGTAAATTAACTGAATTAAAATGGGATTTAGACTAATTAAAATTTGGGAGCATTTGTAGTTACTTTACTCAACCAATCCCGTTTCTCAAAGCAACAACTTTCTTTTGCAATATTTAATATAACTTTCAAATAGGTGGATAAAAGCCTAAAACAAGAAAAAATTTACAGAAATTAGGTGCTGAAAAAGTAGAGAGGATTTGGCAACTACAAACAACACAAAAGACAGCAAAAGAAAGAGTGAGAAAGAGCAGTGAAGAAGGGCACAGATAAAAGAAGTGCCTTTAAAAAAGAAACTCGAATATCTTCCCAAATCACACATGGCGATGGCGATGAGCATTTAGATCCAAAACCATAGTGATTCCTCCATTAACGCAGAAGAAGGAAGTTCATCAGACACTGTGGGAACTCCTGAACGATCCCAGAGCTTTAACTGCTCCTGCTCTCAAAATGAACTGGTGATAAAACGCAGCAATTGCAGCTCCGATGAAGGGTCCAACCCAGAAAATCCACTGTTTTCAAAAAGTAACTAACATCAACAAACAAGTTCAGGCGAAACTTAATCTATAAAAAGAAAACAGAATCAAAGATTAAGAAAGAGGATTTACCTGGTCATCCCAGGGCTTGCTTTTGTTGATGATCACTGCAGCTCCGAAGCTCCGAGCGGGGTTGATTCCCGTGCCGGTGATCGGAATGGTGGCAAGGTGGACCATGAAGACGGCGAACCCAATTGGCAGCGGTGCTAGAACCTTCAATCAATTACAAAAGGTAAACAAGATTATAATGGAATATGGAATTAAATCAAAGATTTCCCTAGAAATCAAATCAACGAATCCGCCATCCGCCATCCGCGTGATTATGAAGCGGGATTCGAGAAATGGGGATCTTACAGGAACGTGAGAATCTCTGGCACTTCTCTTGGGATCTGTAGCAGAGAAGACAGTGTACACAAGAACGAAAGTTCCGATGATCTCCGCGGCCAAGCCGGTGCCGGTGCTGTAGCCGTCGGCGAGCTGATTGGCTCCACCGTTGTAGCGATGGTAGAGACCCTTCTGAAAAGATTTAACCAACGCACACCCACAAATCGCACCCAAACTCTGAGCCACCATGTACAGAATGGCCCTCACCAACGAAACCTTCCGAGCCAAGAGCAACCCAAATGTCACCGCCGGATTAATATGCCCTCCTGCAAAAAAAACGACGATTACAGATTAATTAATTAATTAATCACCCACCCACAAATCGAGTGAAGAAAACCCCCCAGTAAAACCAACCGGAAATTCCAGCGGTGCAGTAGACGAGAACGAAGATCATGCCGCCAAAGGCCCAGGCGACGCCGAGAATGCCGACGCCGCCGCAGATTTCGCCGCCGTTTTTGGTGTCGGACTGATGACTGTAGCCAATGACAGTGAGAACAGTGACGTACAAGAAGAGAAGCGTGGCGATGAACTCGGCAATGATGGCTCTGTAAAATGACCACTGAGTGAACTCCTGGGCGTCGATCAACGGCGCCGGCGGTGGGTCATGGTAGTCCTTGGCGGCGAACCCTCCGGCTTCAGAGTCCTTGGCCATGGCAGCCTGAAGAAAATGGAATGAACAGAAAGAAGAAGAGAATAGAGGACGGTGAATTGAAAATGGGTGATGGGCGAAAGGTTAGGGATGGAATCGAGAGATATATAGGTGAGATTGAGATTCCATTATTGGAGGTGAAGCATTTTCTTCTTCTTTCTTTTTTTTTTCCTTGCCGCCCCATTTTGAAAAAAGTTTCCATTTCTCTCAAAATCTGTGACTGTGACCCCACACTGTTCTTGAGAGCTCTTGATTTGGCTTCCATTGATGCGTGAACCATCTCTTCTCTTCTAGTAGCTTCTTAGAGCTAGAGGAATCCATTAATTTATTATATTAAATGGAATTGGGATTATTCGCATTTCTTCTTCTATTTTCCTCTTTTCCTTTTTTTTTTGGTATTATTCGCCATTAATTCGAATATAATTTAGTCTACTTTTTATTTTATTTCGAGAAGCGATGGAAATTTGAACCCTCAATCTTTAAGTAAGGTTTAAATAATCACTTTTATTTATACTATATTATTTAATCTAACAAATAGGTTAAAAATAAAATATCTATCAAGTTGAACCTTGTCACAAGCATCGAGTTCAAACTCTCTCTTTTGAACCACTAATTACGAAATTCTAAAGCTTTGTTCTTATCCTTTATCAAATTTTTGTCATCATAAATATTTGTATTTTTTTTTTTCAAGATCAAGGGATGTGAACTAGAAGCTATGATCTTTTATGGAAATTTTTAGTACTTTTACTAGTTAAGTTGGTCATGAAATTAACAAAATTTTATTACTGCCCAACCTTTTTGGAAGATTTTTTAATAAGTAACTGTATTCTTTTAAATATTTGTAAATATTAATATGTAATTTTATTTTAAAAAAATTTAGGAATATGATATTATCTAAAAGTGATTTACAAATATAAAATTATTCAATGTATTTTTATGAATATTATATTCACTGTATATTTAGGGTGTGTTGGGGAGTGATGATAGAAGGAAGAATTTAGATAAAAGAGATTTGATTATAATTGATTTTCCAAAATCATCATTTATCTTTACTAAAATCAATTTTTTAATTTGTCAAATATCATCCATGGAAATACCATGTCAGAATCACTCCTGGGTTTGTTTAGGAATGATGGTAAAAAAGGTGATTTTGGAAAAAGTGATTTAAGAATAAAATCAGATATCTTAAGAATCAATTTTGAGTGATTTTATGGTTTCTTAAAATCAAAATTTTAACTCGCCAAACATGATCCATGAAAATTGAAGTGATTTTGACAATAGTAAAAGTGATCTTGTCATGTCAAAATTACTCCCAAACATACATTTAATCTGAATAATGCTACAAGCACTTCTAGTTAAATTGTCACATTGATGCAAACATAAATATAGCTCAACGTTAAACAACATCTACTCCATCTCAACAGTAATAACATCGACTCTAACTTTCGAAGGTGGAAGTCCAAATTCCTAAATGTTATACTAAAAAAAAAAGTATAAATTTTCAAATTTAATCATTGAAATTATTAGTTAATGAAACCACCCTTTTTTTAAATGTATAAATATTTTATTTAAACAGCCCAACGTGATGAGATTCTCACTTTTTTGCACTTTATAACATTTCTTTTTTCTTAAAAAAAAAAAGGCTATTGTTCATTATCTTTTTGGTTTTTATGTGCGAAATTTGTTCCCAACTTTAAATAATTTACTTTTGTTTTATATTAATGCTATAAAATAAAACAATGTCTGACCAAAA